TGGACTCTGACACTGAACTTGAATTGCTCCAATGTTTATTTTTCCCAGGCCAGGCTGATGTTGAAAAGATGCAATGGAATTTTAAAGAACTGACTGACTTCAATACTTTAAAAATCATTGAGGTAAAAAACCTTGCTGTTTCCTTCATGATTCAGAGCAGGACCACATGCACAGATTACTTCACAGTAAAAAAACTGACTCATGGAGTCAGCTCAGCTTTCCATCTCAGAAGAAAACAATTTTCACCAACCTCTGTGTGCCAACTGCTGTTTCAATAACAAAGACGCCTGCATGACTCAATCGGCTTTCCATTAGGGAATCAATTTTAAATACACCTCTATGCCTATCCAAGGAGAGTTCCTCCAGTTTGCAGCTGCTGTAAGCAAAGGTTCGGTTGGTTCTACTCAGCTACCCATACCACCTACAACCCAACCCATATTCTGAATAGGGTTATTCATCCAAAGTACTACTTTGCTGCTAATGTTTGTTGTCTTTTTTTTAAAAATTGTATCCCATTTTTTAAAAGATTTATTTATCTTTATTGGAAAGGCAGATATACAGAGAGGAGGAGAGACAGAGAGGAAGATCTTCTGTCTGATCGTTCACTCCCCAAGCAGCAGCAACAGTTGGAGCTAAGCCAATCTGAAGCCAGGAGCCTTTTCCAGGTCTCCCATGCGGCTGCAGGGTCTCAAAGCTCTGGGCTGTCCTCAACTGCTTTCCCAGGCCACAAGCAGGGAGCTGGATGAGAAGTGGAGCAGCTGGGATTGGAACCAGTGCTCATATGGGATCCCAGAGCATTCAAGGCAAGGACTTGAACTGTTACGCTATCACGCCGGGCCCCATTCCATTTTCAAAATTTATCTCTAATACTACTAGGGGGATTATGAGAATTATGGAAGAAAATACGAAGGAACACAGTACTTGTGTATCAAATACTTTGACTTGTCAAGGCTGCCGTGAGCGAGTAGTGAAACTGTTATTGGAATGATGATCTTTCTGCCACAGGTGACTTAGGTCAAGCATGCAAGGTGCCTTGTGGGTTTTCCATCACCTCTGACCCAGAGATTGAGGACCAGAGAACAGCCCTAGCACGTATCACCTTTAAGTCCCATGTGTGTTTCCAGAAAGTCTGTGCCCAGGGCCTCCTTCTCAGTGTCGCTCGTTGTGCAACAGTGAACTGTCCCCCACAGGCCATGTTCCTGGGGATGGTGATCCACTCTCCCTACTTGAAAACTCTCAGTGACAGCACACAACACTCGCAGAAGGCCACTCTAACAGGGGTCCTCTTCTTGCTGCAGCCTAGGTATTGGTGAAAAAGTTACTGATTCTCATTCCTAAGATAATGAAGGTGACTTCTGCCTCGCTCCATTCCTATTCTTCCAAGCCTGCTCAGAAGCAGGGTGGCCTCCATTTTCCAAAGGATTCCTTAGCTGTCAAACCAGCGTGTACCTTCTCTGCACCGTCCAAGACAGTAGCCGCTAATCACAAGTGGCCACTGAGCGCTTGAAATGTGGCTAGCAGAATGGCAGAACTCAATTCTTAACTGATTAGATCAAATTTAAATAGCCTAAGCTGTGTGTTGGACACTGCAGCTGCTCAAGAAACTGCTGGAGAGATGCTGAAGGAGGGTACGAATCTCGGGTTCCTGTCTGCAAGTTGGTTTACTCCACTTCAGAAAAGCCAGTGTGACCAGAAAGTTTGGCTCTAACCACCATGAACCTTTCTTTAAACATCCAGACTTCCCTCAGCCTCCCTTGGACACAGTGATTTGGTGATAAAGCCACCATGCTAGGGTACGCCTTCAGTACACAAGAGTGGACTGGGAGGCCGGGATACTTAAACAGGATCTTTCTTTGCAACTACAGGAAATGACGTTTGAGGGCCACTTTGAAACCTTTCCATCACATTAATGTTTTAATAAAAGCATTACTGAATCACCCGGTAAAGATTCCATTCTTATCTTACTGACTGCAAGACTAAGACAAGAGAAGGGATCCGCCCAGCTTTGGCAAGGCCCTCACACTTGCCCTGGATGAGGCAAGTTCCTGTGTGGAACTGGGGCAAATGGGCTCTCTGCTGCTGCCACTGCAGCCCAACAGAGAACCTGTTTCAGCATCTTTGCTGCCCACCTCCATCCACTCTGCTCGGCTCTTTCCTGGACACCCTGACACCTTCTCAGCTGCTCTGTTTCCATTCTTCCCTAGAGTTTGTCCTCCACACAGCAACCAAAACGATCTTCTGCGATCAGATCCTCTCATCCCTGGCTTGAGATTCTTCAAAGGCTTCCTACTCCAACGTCAAAATCATCACCCTGGCCTCCAGTCCTCCCTTCTTCCCTTTCTAGTTTCTCTTCCCATCCTCGCCTCGTGGCTTATGCTTCCACCACAACAGCCTCCTTGATTTGCTCTTCAGAAAAATCAAACTGCTCCCTGTGCCTCCCCCACGCCTGCATCAAACATGGTGGAGTGGAAGAATTCAAGCCACCCCACCTCATTTTGTCTTTCTCCTAGTATTAAGGCAGCTGGGGAGATACTAGCCCAAGAGTGTATGTAGGGCCAAAGAAAAGGAGACATTTTGAAGAAAATGAATGTACGTACAATGGACTGAGGGGAGCAGGACCTGGGTCCTGAAGGCAGGCCCCAGCCTCTGCTCTGCCTCCCTCGGCCCCAGGGTGTCCTCACCTGTCCTCCTCAAAGGGACCCCAGGGAATGAGCCAGCTGGCACAAATGGAGGATCAGATGAAAAACCTTGATAGCCAGTTCTATCCAGAGGCATTCACATAAGGAAATTCCATCCCTACAGTAAGTGATCTTATATTATTTTACAATCTGTTGGCTGGGTTTCAGCCCTCTCCCTGGAGGCAGCTGAGGGAGCTGCCATCTACCCCTCTGTTCAGCAGGGGATTCCATGCTCTAGCAGCCCAGGGAGGCTACAGGAGGAGAAGATCAGGGACCCACACTCATGTCCACAAAATCCTGTCTGAACACAGACGGGGCTCCGGGTATCTTCTGAGCTGCCCGCTGGTCCAGCAGGTGTAGGACTGTCTGTCTCCTCACTGTAATAAAGGATCACACTGCCTTCTCATGTGCTCATTCAATGGCCTCACACTTTGCTACTGAGGGAGCAAGTGTTTGTGCTTCAAATCAGTGCTGACACTGGCCACACAGTTTGAAAGCATTAGAAGGAAGGACAGCCTGGACGCCGGGAGGGCTGACCACTGAGCTCACCAGCTCCACCTTTCTGTGAGACAGCCCCCAACTTACAGTGCTTCAGTTTTCAACCTTTTTTGACTTTCCAGTTGTATGCAAGCAATACACATCAAATAGAAACCACATTTCAAACCAGACTAGCAATTTGGAACACAATGCTGGAAGGCGGCAGTGCCAGGCCATCATATGGGAAGCAGCCCAGACTGCCCAGCGTAGCTCACCTAGGGATGCTCAACAGGTGAAAGAGCCAAACATTTATAGTGTACGATATCTTTCATTTACAATGGGTTTATCAGGATGTAACTGGTCACCAATGGCCAGAATCTATATGGTCAGTGGAATACCCCACCCCGCACAAAACAAATATTAATAAAAACGAGCCCTTCGAGCCAACCTGGAGACCAATGCTCCTTTCCCAAGGACAACCTTCATGACACCTCCCCCTCTGGTCAAGGGAGAGGCCAAACCAACACCGTCCCAGGCATTTCTGCTTGTTAGGGACATGATGCCTCTCAGCTAGTAACTTGATGGGATCATTTTGAAAGTTCATTTCAATCCAATTAAAACACGAATATCCTATGAAAACCAGGCTACTTTAAAGCCTTGCTTCACAGCTAACAACAACATTTATGCCATTTTTCTTTTCTTATGGCGTCCTATGGTACAACATTATCCAATCCGCATAAGCTCAGCCAATGATCAGCACTTTAGAAGAAAGTATCCAGCACATTTAACCCAGCGACCGCAGGCTTCCATCCACCTGCCAAACAGCCCCTCCGCATCTTCAACAGGCCTTACTGCACATGCAGCTGGGCTCAGCAGCTCAGTCATCAGCTTCTGTCACTGCTGTAGGCCTCCGCTTGCCCATCTGTACGGGTACTAGAACAGTCCCCGCTGTCTCCAGAGCTCTGCAGGATGCAGGAAGATGCTGCCTGGGAACCACTCAGCACAGCGAACACCTCACCTGCGCTCATTGCCGGGGAGCTGCCGTAGGCAGCTGCTTCTTAAAACCCATAACCCACGGATGGCACAAACGGACAGAAGCTCTCAGCCAGGTGTTGACTTCCCAGCAGCCACAACAAACCACCAGGATGACACAGGAGACGACTCAATGAGAGGACTCGAAACTCACACGCATGTAGCCCGAGACAACTCTCCATCTGGCTGATCTTGACTCAGCACATCACTAACCAGCAACAGCATGTTAGCTGCCCTTGTGTGCTACCGAGTGGCCCTCCCCTCCTACTTGCTCCCTCTACTCTTAGATTTGCCTGGGAGGAGGGGTGCGGGGGGGGGAGAGCATGCAGGGTGCAAAGGCTTCAATCAGGGGACATTAAATCAGCTGGTTTTTCCTCCTTCTTAATGGGTATTGAGTAGCCAAAATGTTACCTTTGATCTTCTGTTTCCCACTGGGAATTTATGCCAGGATCTGAGCAGCAAATCACTTCTAAAGGTCCTTGCAAAAGGCCTCTGCCCCGCAGCAGCCTCAATCACCAATCCATAATACTCCTTTGAGTCAAGCTGAGGTTCCAGAAACAGCTTTAAGAATGTTCTTCCAGCATTAGCTCCTGCCCTTTATAATCACTAACTCAGGACACCATTACTAGATCCATTAGCCAAAAAAAAAGAAAGAAAAGAAAAAGTTGCCCAAATAGTTGAAGTGCCTCCAACAGTTCATTTCCAGGCACTTGCTTCGAGCCTAAATCTTGCTATCCAGGGACAAGGTGGGCAGCCCGCCACCGTTTCCAAGACCCACTTCCAGGAGAATACCTTTTCTAAAAGTGCGCTTACCGTGATTTTCCAAGTGCATTTGCTATTTGGAGGGTACACTCCGGGAAAACCTTCGCTGCCAATGAATCCAGACTCTCCAGAAAGAATGCCACCACATGTGAAAACAGGTCTGCAGGGACACAAGAGGGAAGGGCGCCCCGCGTTGGAAACGCCCTCTCGCAGTCCACTTGAGAAGCCCGTGGTTTATAAGCTGGCTCGCCAGATGACAGATCTGGCCCTCAGCAGGACTTACGGGACAGCCTGATCAAGCAGTCAGATCAGCTGCCATCTGTCCCCACCGTGCTAATATACGCACGCTATACGCAGGGCAGGCGAAGGGATAAGTTTTGTAAGGAAAAAAAAAAAAAAAAAAAAAAACCAGTTCAGGGATCCAAATTAGCAGGGAGGAGGGAGAGAAGGAGAGAGCCAGTTTGGGTGAGAGCGCACGGGGGTTTTAAAGAGAGGCAAGCAATTGGTTCAACAGTCCAAGTTATCAGTTCTGAGATCTGGGGAGATGCTGCAACTTGTCCTTCCTGTTTCTGACCGCATTGGCCCTTGAAAGGGGAGGCTGCGGCGGGAGCGAGGTGTGAAAGAAGACAAAGTTTGGCCGTCGGGGTGCGGCTGGGGGTTCCCATAGTCCAGGTCCTGGGGCCACAGCGGTTTGGTTTAGAGTGAACTTTCTAGAGCGACTCCCAAGGGCGCTCCCGGGTTCTCCCTTAGCTTTCGGTTTCCGGGCAAAGCCTCCGGAGGGTAGAGAACAGCGGTAAACAGCAGGCGCTCCTGCGGGGCCCTAGCCCTGCTCCCCGCCCCCCCCGCTCCTGCAGCCCGACGGACCCGTAAGGGGCAGCGCAGCGGTGCCCGCCACGTGGTGGCCTGGCATGCGTCAGGCCGCGCCAGGGGCGCACGAGGGGAGCCCCGCGGGCATGCGCGCTCCGAAGGGTGCTGGGGTCCCAGGCGGAGCCCACGCCGGGGCGCAGGGGCGTGCACCCCTCGAGGGGAGCGCACGGAGGCACCGGGCGCCCGGCAGCGGCTGGCGGGGCGAGGTTGCCCGCACAGAGGGAGGGATGGAGCGAGCGAGCGAGCTCGGGCGGGGTGGGCTGAGGGGGGTCGCGTTACCTCTCCGGGGGCTGCTGTGGCCGGGAGAGCGGCACGGCGGCGGCCAGCAGCAGCAGCAGCAGGCAGAGCGGGGCCCAGGGGCTCGAGCGACTCATGGCCGGTGTAGACGCTCCGGGGCTCCACCCCACCGGCGCGCGCGCGCCGCCACTCACACCGGCATCCACGCGCGTTCGCGCCGGCGCTCCCACCCGACGCCGCCCCCCGAGTGCGCGGCGGGGCCGGTGGGCACGCTTTTAAAAGGCGATTCCTTGCGCAGGCTGGCTGACTCCACGCCTGATTTCCCCCCCGAGGAGCGGCTCTGGCAGCAGCCCCCCACAGGCCGCTGCTGAATATCCCGTTTGTTCTCTCGGCCGCAGCAGGGGCGGCTCCGACGCCGCAGTCGCCTCCTCCCCCGGGGCGGGCGCCTCCTGCCCGCGCTCCCGGAGACCCGCGGCTCGGCTCCTGGCCCACCCGGGGCTGCGGCGAGAGGGATGCCGAAGGGGACCCCAGGACGGCTCCGGGGGACTGGCTTTTCAGCGGGTCTTGTCCCAGTCATTTGGAGTGAAAATTTATTGGCGCTTGCTGGGAAAAGCCGGCGTTCCTCCCTTGTCCCCAATGCCAGGGAAAGAAAAGGGAATCCGTGAGGGGATTCTATAGGGACGTTTAATTCCTCTCTTAAATTTCACTTCCAACGCGCTCCCGGTCACGGTAGCTTCTTGTCTGGTTTTCTCCGTGGGGGAGAAAGAGGAGGGAGATGCATTTGCAGGCGAGCGTTGGTGAGTTCACGTCCCACTGTTAACATCTCCGCTATTAGAAGAGATTTTCCAGGCGTCAGTTAAAGAGAAGCTGTTTTTCCTAAGAACAATTCTAGCCTTGTGGAAGCAAGGATTTCCTTCATTTAATTATGGAGGTGGTTGGGGGGAGGACCCGTCAACCCTTTATTTTGTGAAGTAGTTCCCAAGAGCCAAGGATTAATAAAAGGATAACAAGAACAGAAAAATGCATCGAAATTTTCAATAAACACACCACCCACGGGATATAGAAACTTAGTTCCGATGTCGCATTTGCGGTATTCCGTCTAACTCATTTTCACCGTTTCAAGCCAAAACCCCATGCATTAAAAGTAATAATTATAAAGACTTCAATCTAATAATGGACATCTAATGCGGAGAATATAAACACTTCTGGCAAAGAAATAAACAGAACTGACTATAGGAAATAATCTTTTAGCACTGTGGAAACCCACTGGCTCATCCTAGTAGCCCTAATTTCTCTGTGGCGTTTCCATGATCTTAGACATTTTTGAAAAGTGGTGGAGAAAAACACCATTTACCGCAGCTTTTAAAAAATTCCCAATAGGCACCACACCCTGGATGACATTTTTTTTTTTTTTTGAAAAAGGATGACAGAATCTGGCAAATTGTTGTGTCCTGAAAATTACACCCTCATCCCAATAAAAAATTTCTTTAAAACAGCAAGGAGGAGAATAAATGACTGTTTATTCTGCACAAGTTTGAAGAATACGCCCGATAGCGTACGAGATTTAGAGGATGGTTTGTTTTGAAAGTCCGAGTTCTCAGCTATCATGTCCAAAGATTGCTCAATTCTCTTTCTGGTAATGATTTTTGGAAGTCCTCAGAGCCAGAGAATATTTCATTCTTAGGACTCAGTTAAGCTTTTGAAATTAAAAAAAAAAAAATCAGAGTACTACCCATGCTTAAATAGATTTTTTAAAAAAAGTACTTGGGGCATAAATAAGCAACAGTATATTCCCAATATACAGACCGATGCCTGTGCTTTGAACAGCCATCCTGCTGTTGTTACTTTCATTCCATTATGACCATCTGTCACCTTGCCATTTGGACACATAAAGAGAGACATTGATTTTACCATGTGATTTTAAAAGTTTACCAAAACCCGTGTTATTTATTCTTCAAAACACATATTTGACTTGGAACTACAGTGCTGACCAAAATTGTAAACCTTCAATGTCCTTGAGAAGTTTGATGTGTTAAAATTGAGACAGATCCAAGAGGTGTGTCAGATCCCTTTACGTGTGACCCATTTCTGGACTTCTGTGATGCAGAATTTACACAGTGCACTGGGAGCTACAGAGTCCGGGCAGTGATGGGGAAGCCCCGTGGAGTGGTCCTCAAGGTCAGCGGAGTGGGGCAATGATCCTGTTCCCCAGCCTTGGCAGGTGCACTGGGAGCTACAGAGTCCAGACAATGATGGGGAAGCCCCGTGGAGTGGTCCACCTCCAATCCATTTCGCTGCAAAAGGCCTGGGAAAAGCAGTGGAAGATGGCCTGGACATTTAGGCCCTGCTACCCATGTGGGAAAGCAGGATGAAGTTCCTGACTCCTGGCTTCAGCCTGGTCTAGCCACGGCTACTCTGGTCATCTGGGGAGTGAACCAGTGGATGGAAGATCTCTCTGTCTTTCCTTCTCTGTAATTCTTTCAGATAAATATGTTTTTAAAATTTGTTCAAAATTACATCTTTGTTCCATATGAGAATTAGCATCTAATTTCAAGCATAGCTAAAATTTTGTTTAGTAAAAAAATGAAGTTAATTTTCTTTTTTATAAAGATTTATTTATTTTTATTGGAACTTAATCTTCTGATCTTTAGTTTCATTTGTAAGGCAAAATTCTAAGCAATTTTTAATATCTGTCATGAAAATTTCCAGTCTTGGGCCTGGTATGATGGTTCAGTGGCTAAATCCTCACCTTGCAAACACCAGGATTCCGTGTGGGTGCCGGGTCACGTCCCTGCTGCTGTACCCACCTTCTAGCTTCTTACTTGTGGCCTGGGAAGGAAGTCAAGGTCAGCCCAAAGCCTTGGGACCCTGCACCACTCCTGTGGGAGACCCGGAAGAAGCTCCTGGCTCCTGGCTTCACTGGCTGTTGTGGCCACTTGGAGAGTAAACCAGTGAACAGAAGATCTTTCTCTGTCTGTCCTTCTCTCTGTAAGCCTGCCTTGTCAATAAAGACAAATCTTTAAAAAAAATAATAACAAAATAAATTTTCTAGCCTATTTTAAGTAAATAAAATAGCCTTTTCTAATACAGTTAACTACAGAGGTGGATAGTCTAGGGTTAGCTATAATATTTTTGTTAAGAGAGGCAAGCAAAGAGACAGCCATCTCCCCTCCACTGGTTTCCCTCCCAAGTCCCTGAAGTGACAGCGGCAAGGGCTGAAGGAGACAAAAGTTGAGTGATTCAGTGGGATTCAATCAAGTTGCTGAGCCATCTCCTGCTATCTGCCATGGTGAACCTTCGCCAGAAGCTGGGACTGGGAACAGAATTAAGACTGAAACCCATGCAGGCTCTCAACCCCTCTCCCAATGCCTGCCCCTTCTGACTACTTCTACAGGCGCTTTTGTGCCAGTCCAGGGCAGGGTGTCAGATGGAGGGGAAGAGGAGGAGACAGTCCCCAGGTGTGGTCTGTGCTTCCCTGAGTGGGACAGGCCTCTGACTCTAGCACCCGAACAGTGAATTTCATACATGTCACAAATGTGTACAGGCATGAAAAGGATCTGGGCAACCCAGATTAATGTAATGATAATGTTCATGCTATCTCCGTGGCTTTAGTTCTGCCACGACCATAGCACTAGAATTCCGCATGTTCTTTTAGCTGGGACGTTATCACAGTGACTGAATGAATACTGCAATGCTGGAAATGGCTTACCCGAGCTCAGCTTTTTAGACACCGTCAACATTTCATAGCTCCTTGCACTCTTTCAAGTCTGCCCACAAACCCCAATCAGTAGCCGCTGTTTTGTTCAAGGATGTTTTAAGAATGAAAAGTTCAACATTTTCTGATGTGTGTATGCATACATTAGGAAGAAAAGCAGATCTTTTTCCTACAGAACCTCACATTGGCCAAGAGAAGATTTTGCAGAAGACCTCTATTTTTCAAGCCTTTTAGCTACAAATCACTGAATCCAGAGCCATTCCTTTCAGACTAGATTCACTCTGTTAGTTGAAACAGAGAATGGAACTGGTGCTCAATTGGCTATATCCTTGCCTTACATGTGCTGGGATCCCATATGGGTGCAGGTTTGTGTCCCAGTTGTTTCAACACCCATCCATCGGTGTCTCCCGTCCCGCGGAAGAAATCACCCGACACTGGAGAGTGTCTCAGGGGCGCTTTATTCAAACCTTCCGTTAAAACTGTTATGTCCGTTAATTCCGTTACACAGAAGCCCCTCCCCCCATGCCTCTGGCTTATATGTCAATCCTATCCAATCAGCTTAAAGATCACCAAGGCACACCAATCGGGGCAAAGGGTCAATCACAGGGCAGGAAATTGTCAGTGCCCCCAACACTCATCCAGCTTCTTTTTTATGGCCTGAGAAAGCAGTGGGGGCTGGCCCAAGGCTTTGGGAACCTCATCCACGTGGGAGACGTACCTGCCCGGACGGCTCAGCTCCAGTTGTTGCAGCCATTTGAGGAGCGAATCAGTGGATGAAAGATCTTCTGTCTTTCCTCCTTTCAGTATACCTGACTTTTCAATAAAGATAAATAAATCTTTTTTTTAAAAAAGTGTAGCTGTTATAATAGCAAGGAAGGACACATTTAGCCCGGGAGTCAAAAGCCCACATCCCCCATCACAGTGCTTACATGTGTAGTTTCCAATTCCAGTTCCTGACTCTGGCTTCCTGCTGAGGCCGACCTGGGGAGGCATAGATGATGGCCCAAGTGGTTTCTTTCTTGCCACTCACCTGGGAGACCCGGATTGAGTTCCCGGCTTCCCACTTCAGCCACTGCGCACAGCTGGAAGTGAGGCGCTGGATGGGAGCTGTATTTACAGGAGTGCATAGGTGTATGCGTACATGTGCTTGTCTATCTGCCTCTCAGATAAATAAAATCAGAGGTTGTTCACATTACTGTGAAGCACATTGGAAAAGCATTCCCAGCATGGTAATCCAGTGAGGAACCTATAGCCAGTGCTGTTCCAAGACCAGCTACTGAACACAGATACTTGAGCCGTTAAGTTTCCAAATTTGACCTTGCAATTCTTACGGCCCCAAAGGCCAGGGTCTTCATTGCTGCTTGCAGAATGAAGGCTCATCACAGAACTCTTTGTGCCTATTCAGCTCTCATGAAGCACCGC